ATGGGAATGATTCCACTTGAAGGTTTTTTCCTTAATTTGTCAAGTGTTTTTTTTCTGTTTCGGAGACAAAATATAACAATTAATGATTTGCCTTGTTAACAAAATAATGTTCAATAATTCTAAACAGGCTCAGTAAACAGAGGATGAATCAATTAAACAATAAATCAAGTCTGCCTATGCATCATAAACAAACAAACAAACAAACACTAAACTCACTTACTGAAACAATAACTCACATGTGGATGCACTCGGCAAAGAAAGGTGGAACAGGTCTCGTCCTTTGGAGAGCAAACTGAGCAGTGAACTCTCTTTCCCTTTATGGGAGACCTGATCTCATTCACCTGTGGCTGATTGCTGCAGCCAGCACAGGTGTTTCTTGTTGCTCCTAATTGAGCTCAGGGAATCAAGGCAGACATGACATCTCAACGATTTGTATCAAAATATTACAGAAATGTACTAAATACACACAAATAGATAAAACTTACTTTCTTGTCAGGGAGACGCACACAAAGGAACCACAAGGATGCAAACAATACCACTCTGGAAACTTGTAACCAGTCTATACATCTAACTTGGTCCAGGAGAAGGCCAGAAAGAACGATTCCACTGAGAAGCCATTATAAAAGAGGGAGGAGCTAACGCTAAACACAATATAATTGGAGACTGCTATGATGGATTGCTCCTGGACCAATGAGCACTAAGCACTAATAAAACACAGAATTAAAGGGAAAGCAACACAAAATGTGATACCCAAAGACAGTTTTCTACACAAAGCATCAAGTGAGATTTTTACCTTTGTGAAAGGTTTCTTTGAATCTCGAAGGAGGGCGGCCTTCCAGGTGAGCAGACGAGCGCTCTCCACCGCCACGTTCATGTCGGCAAGTTTGAACTAAACCAGGTGGAAAAAAACTCAAGATGATTTATCTATGAAGCAGGAACATCAAAGATCCTGTTTCCATTCTCTAAAAACTGATGAGGTGCGTGGTTACCTGTACGGCCTGCAGTTTTCCGATGGGCGCTCCGAAAGCGATGCGTTTGTGTGCGTAGTCTGCGGCGCAGTCCAGAGAGGCCTGAGCGATACCGAGAGCCTGAGCGGCGATACCGATCCTCCCGCTGTCCAGAGTTTGCTGAGCGGGGCAGAGAGGTGAAGACTTCACTAATCGTAATGTTATCATTAGACAAAACACGTGCTCGCTGCAGGTCACTTAGCACGCCGCTGTCAACTGCGTTTCCTGAATACGGTCTTTAACGACTCGCCAGGCGGGGAATCTGAATCCTCTAACCGAATCAGAATCAGAATTTATTTGGCAAAGGATTCAGCTCTCGCTCCGACATGTTGGCTGCTCTAGTTACCATGGCGATCTTGAATCCTGCACCTCGAGGACCCAGCATGTTCCCCAGCGGCACCCTGCAGTCCTCCAGGATGATGTTGGCCGTGGACGTGGCTTTGATGCCCAGCTTGTCCTCCTTCTTCCCCAGAGAGAGGCCCGGGTGAGGCATCGGGATCAGGAAGGCGCTGATGCCCTGCAGACACAACGAGGGCACGCTCTGTGGTCACACTGCGTTCTGAGTGTGTGTGTGTGTGTGTGTGTGTGTGTGTGTGTGTGTGTGTGTGTGTGTGTGTGTGTGTGTGTGTGTGTGTGTGTGTGTCACCTTGTGTTTGAGCTTCTTGTCCGTGGTGGCGAACACGACGGTGGCCGCGGCGTCCCAGCTGTTGGTGATCCAGGCTTTGGTTCCGTTCAGCACCCACTCGTCTCCCTCCTGACGAGCCACCGTGGACGCCGCGCCCGCGTCGCTGCCGTTACCTGGAGGAGACGTGCAGATCAGTTTAGAGACACAGGTGGCTAACTTTATTTTAAAATGGCGTCTTTAAGACTCCTCAGTTTTTATCCCTCGTCTCATTAGGGGCGTGAACACGTGCGTGAGGCGTGGCGTTTACCCGGCTCGCTGAGGGCGAAGCAGCCCACCTTCTCCCCGGTGGTGAACGGCGTGATCCACTCCGTCTTCTGTTCCTCTGTGCCGAACTTCAGGACGGGTCCGATGTAGAGCGACTGCGAGGAAGAAGACGCGCACAGAGGTAAACACGACAACATCACAACACAAATATACGTTGCTATGGCGACCGACCGGGCTCACGTTGTTAACGGACACCACGCATCCCGTGCTGGCGCAGCCTCTGCTGATCTCCTCCACCGCCAAACTGTACGCCAGGTAGTCCATCCCGGCTCCGCCCAGCTCCTCCGGGACCTCCATGGCCATCACGCCCATCGCTCCCAGCTCCTGAACCTGAAAGAGAACTGTTTGTTTTTCCTGAAGTATCCAAAGTATCAAAACGATATTTTAAAAAAACCACCCCGAACGTTTGGGGCGCAAAACGGGCCTCATGATCGTCTGGTGTGTAGCCAGCAGAGGTGTAAAGAGTATTTTAGTGTTTTTAGTTTTATTATTCTGAGGCTGTTTAGTCTCAAAGAAACCTGAGATGAAAGATAATCCAGTTATTGTTTTAAAATGAGCCTTTATGAGTTTAAATATTAGATGTTTTATTCTCTGTTTGTTTACCTCTTAGCTCCTGAAGCTTCTGACTAATCTGTTTGGTTTGAAGTATTTATTTTCACACATCTGAGATGTGTTAAATTACAGCAGCTTATAACACCCAACTTCCTCATGTCTTTTTCAAAATAAAAGCACATCAGAGATGGCAATTAGGGACTTTTATTGTGAAAAACTTTCCCGAACTAAATGTGTTTATCGCTCGGAACTTAACCTACTTAAGTAAAAGTACAGATTTTAAAAACGACTTAAAAAGTCGTAAGTACAGCAAAAAACTACTCAATTACAGTAACGTGTGTGTGTGAGTGTGAGTGTGAGAGTGAGTGAGTGAGTGTGAGTGTGAGTGTGAGAGTGAGTGTGAGTGTGAGTGTGAGTGTGAGTGTGAGAGTGAGTGAGTGTGAGTGTGAGTGTGAGAGTGAGTGAGTGAGTGAGTGAGTGAGTGAGTGTGAGAGAGTGAGTGAGTGAGTGAGTGAGTGAGTGTGAGAGAGTGAGTGAGTGAGTGAGTGAGTGTGAGAGTGAGTGAGTGAGTGTGAGAGTGAGTGAGTGAGTGAGTGAGTGAGTGAGTGAGTGAGTGAGTGAGTGAGTGAGTGAGTGAGTGAGTGTGTGAGTGAGTGTGTGAGTGAGTGTGTGTGTGTGTGTGTGTGTGTACCTGTTTCAGGGGAAAGGCATGCTCTCTGTCTAGTCTGCCAGCGATGGGGGTCAGTTCTCTGTCGGCGAAGTCTCTGCAGGTTTGTCTGAGGATCTGATGAGTGTCCGGTAACTCGGCCAGCGCAGAGAAACTGCGACAACCGCTGAGACACAAGCCCAGAGCTGAGGGAGAGGAACAGAGTCCAGACACTGCATACTAATTCAAATGATTCACAGACAACTGAACGTTGTGCTGGCTTCACATGCAAACAGGAAGCAGCAACAACTGTCAGGTTTTTCAAATTAAAAAGGTTGAAACTGAAGTGTAAGAGTTGTACTTTTGATCTCACAGAAGGAGATGCTCTATCTCATCTGAACGTCGTCATGGAGACGATTTATGGACACTTCTTACAGTTCTGTCTGAACGTCTTCATAGAGAGACTTTGTGAGCTGATAACATTGAAAGCACCCAACGATCCGTCTTCATCGGTGACATGGATCAGCGCCGTCAGTCCGACATGTAAATTACATCAATATCAGACCAGATACGGATATTTGATCCGATCTGTCACTTCTCTTCAAATAATCCAGCGATGCAGAGACAGTCTGGCTCACTGATCGTGTTCACATCATGTGAGAAGACATGTTTGTTTGGTTCATGTTGTGATGGGGTCAGTTTAGGTCTGAAGATAGAGCGAGTAGAGATAACGCTTCAGCTGTTACTGATATATTATCAATAAGCTGGTGTTACGTTTAGAAACACGGAGAGGATAGTTGGCAGTGTAATATAACAGCTCTTATGTTTGTGTCACAGGGTGCTTCACATTAGCCTCAACTTTCTGACGGTGAATTGAAAAACCTTCTTTTCTCAGCGTGATATCAAAGTAACCTGGGAGAATTCAGACAAAGAAAAACAGTGATGCATTCATTTAAAAACATGTAGACTTCAAGTGTTTCTGTTCTGTTTTAGCCCTGCAGAGTTCCTCCAGTTGGAGCTTCATACAGGCTCTGCAGACTTTGTTGTTTTTTATGACATCATTGGACTAACTTTAGTTTAGTTTATATATAATCAAACATAATACAGAATGTGTTTATTCTGTGACACATGATCAAAGTAAGTTTTACTGACCGAAGAGTTTAATTCATAGAGGGGGCGGGACATTGTTGATTGACAGACAGACAGTCACCATGGTTACTCACTCTCACCTGCCTGCTGCTTTGTAACGTCGTTTAGTGTAATCCTATAGGTTCAGTTATCACAACAGGTGAGCTTCAGGTGGAGAAGCTTGAATAAGTACTTTTAAAAACTGAGAGAGAGCAGAAAACACCGACAGCAACATTTGAAACACCGGGGTTATATCTCCCTCACTGTCTGTCTGAGCTCCAACCTGTCTGTCTCTGACTGTTAACGTCTCTCCGTGTCGCTGTCTGTAGATTGTACGCTAGAAGAGAAGAGGGGGGGGGGGAGGGGAGGGGCGTCTGTGTGGGAGCATAAACTGCAGCATGATAAAATAAACACATTAGCCCGGTTCTACGATCTCTCTGCTTTGGCAGATCGTCAGCAAGTTAAATCCTTCACGATCTAAGATCGCTATATCGCCCACCAATAGTTGAAGGTGCACATCGCTGTTGCCTAGCAACTGTTGTTTATAACGCTCAAGCCAATGAGGAAAGAAAGCTTACCGCCTAAAACCTATAGAAAGAATAGGAGACACACATTTGAATGAATCAACATTGAAAAGGCAGAATAGAGTAAATTAGGATCTGATTTAGAACAGAATAGAATGAAATGTCAGGAAGGAGGAGGATTGCTGCCACAGAGGCTCCAGAGCCTTGATGAGGGCAGAGTCTGATGGAGGCAGGTTCAGATACAGAAAGTGATGTCTCCTGGTCTCTCTTCATCTGACACCGCTCTGAGATTGAACCTGAGAATGTTTCCGTGGTTGTCGATAAACTATTCAATTTCAAATTCATTGGAATTTAATGTTTGTGTCCTGAAGTTTATTATACCTTTCACAAATTACAGATCTATTTATTCTTATATTTGATATTGATTATTGAAATGCTATGCAAATAATTCGTAAACAGTCAAAATGAGCTATGGCTTTCAAGTAGTGATAGAAAGTCGGTCGTTCTAGTGTTAATAAATAAGTAAACATTTCAAATTGGTCTCCATATTTACAGATTAGTTTACACATTTGTGGATCTGTGGTACACATATTCAAATAGTTTTGCACAATAATAGCTCCATAGTAATGGCACACTCTCTCTTATCTGTATGAGCTCTCTCTCCCTTTTAGAGGTTGTTCTGCAGTTATTAAAATAGTAATCAACTAAACTCTAAATCTATGATCAAATCTAGTTGCTGCTCTGTGTGACAGGATGATCAAACGTCCATGGTTTCTTTGATATGTTGAAAACCTCTCAGAAACACTTCAGCATGTGCACAGTGATATAGAAGCTGTGAGCAGATGGGAGCTGTATGCCCAACACTCTGCAGAAACTATGAGAAACTTTAACAGTTTTAATAACCTGATGGTTTAAATGTGCTGCACAACGCGATCGTACTGTGGAGCCGTCTGAATGACACATTTGTGGTACCACTGGAAAGCTGGGAATTTCTACTTTCTCCCACTTTTTACATTTTTATTTTAGCGTGGAAGTTAGTTTTTACAGGTTAAGACGAAGCGGCGTGCGGGCGTAGGTTCAACACGTCATTGGTCACGACAATGCTAGAGACGACTGTCACGTTTGTCTGGAACTAAAACAGTACCATATTATTAATCTTTTTATCATTTTGGCTAAATTTATATCCATAAAAGTAAATTTGCAAACAGAAAACCTATTTTCAACATTATTTTAATGAGCTGCAGCAGTACATGAAAACCATCCAGCACTCTGAGAACCCAAGGCCTGAAGACTCTTGAATATTGTATTTATTTTAATTGTGTAAACTGATGACCCTTCCATTTCTACCCTTCCCTATGTTTTACTTGTCTTAGTCTTTGTCAACCCCTGGCATGTTCCTTTGTTCCTTAATCTAACTTTGTAACATTGTCTGTGTTTACAATAAAGTTGTTAAAAAAAGAAAAGAAAAAGACTGTCACGTTTGTCTGCTCAGTCAGCTGATCCATGACACTTCCCCCCCCCCCCCCCAGAGAAATGAGACTGTTCTCTGTGTTCCTGCTCTGAAGAAGCTCCGCCCCCTCAACTGTTTCGTCTGAAACAAACCAGGAAACAGGCTGTTATTCTGCCTCACCCTGAAGAGACACACACACGCTGACAGACGGACCGACCTGCAGACACAAACCAGCACGACTTCCACTGAGAGAGGACAGGACGAGGAGGAGGGGATACTGGGAGTACTTGTTATACTGGGAATACTGGGAATACAAACACTTCAACCTGCTGCTGAATCCACAAACTGAACGAGAGTTTCAAAGTGAAAGTAACTCTCGGGACGGGGAGTGGCTTCCTGTTTTTTCTGCTGCGTGTTTTGACTCTGAGATAAAATGGCGTCCAAGTTTGAAGAAGATCTGAGCTGTCCAATCTGCCTCGACATCTTTAAAGATCCAGTGATGCTGTCCTGCAGCCACAGCTTCTGTAGAGAGTGTGTGAAGGACTGCTGGAAGGAGAAGGAGAACCAGGAGTGTCCACTCTGTAAGAGGAGACATTCAAAGGAATGTTTACCTCCTGCCTTTGCTTTAAAGAACCTGAGTGAGAGTTTTGTGCAGGAGAGAGATCAGAGAGCTTCAGAGGATCTCTGCAGTCTGCACTCTGAGAAACTCAAACTCTTCTGTCTGGACCATCAGGAGCCGGTGTGTGTCGTCTGCAGAGATTCAGAAAAACACTCTGAGCACAGATTCAGACCCATCGATGAAGCTGCTGGACAACACAAGAAGAAACTTCAGGAAACTCTGAAGCCGGTAAAGAAGAAGTTAAAAGTTTGTAAACAAGTTAAAGTGAAGTTTGATCAAACAGCAGAACACATTCAGGTCCAGGCCCGACACACAGAGAGGCAGATTAAGGAGCAGTTTAAGAAGCTTCACCAGTTTCTAGAAGAGGAAGAGGAGGCCAGGCTGTGTGCACTGAGGGAGGAAGAGGAGCAGAAGAGTCAGAGGATGAAGGAGGAGATGGAGGCTCTGAGCAGAGAGATAGCAGCTCTTTCACACACAGTCAGAGACACAGAGGACGAGCTGAGAGCTGAAGACGTCTCATTCCTGAAAAACTACAAGGCTGCAGTGGAAAGAGTCCAGCAGCGCCCCCTGCTGGAGGATCCACAGCTGCCCTCAGGAGCTCTGATAGACCAGGCCAAACACCTGG